TTTCCCCTTGTCCCTTGTTACACTTTTTTTTTTTTTTAATTATTATTATATTATTTTAAGTTATGGGACCTATATCCAAAAATTTTAAAAAAAAAGTCAAAGAAGCGACGCTCTAGCAGAATTGACTCTAGGTGAATATATAGATAGTAAATAAAACAGATTTTAGATAGTAAATATTTAATCTATTAGTTTTGCATGTATCAAATTAAACAATATATATATTTGAAATATATAATTATTGTATATGAAAATTCGAATATTCTTAATTTTGTGACGGCTTAATGAAACCAGTAAAAAATATATAAGAGCCCTTTAGGGAACTCCAGAAAGCTCCGTAAAAGAACTAACAGAAAAATCCGCAGGAAGAAATGAACGAGAAAAAAAACTATAAAAATTAAATTTTATTAAAACTAGATAGCAATAGCTAAAAAGTACACATAAAATAGAAAGAAGGCTCGAAGAAAAGCAAATGAACCGGCGGAAAAATGAACAACAATGAGTGAAAATACAACGAAAAATAAAGATAAAAAGAAGATATATTTCGGAAGTATGTTGGATTGGTCGGAGACCCCCTTCATTTCGAATTCTTGACTTTTATATTCTATCTAAACTTGCAACTCCTTGTCGTCTTTAATTGCCAAACACTTCCGTCATTATTAAAGTAAATGTAACTTGTATAACTCTCAAATCATCAATAATTGATTTTTTAAGCCTTCATTTATCACCAAATAATCACGGAAATTTCCAAAATTATTGAATAACTCATTATCCAAGCTCTCTTTCTTTGGTAACAACCATAACTCTATACTCACTCATTTGCTTCATAATTTCCGCCAGCTTCCATATTTTTCCTCCAAATAATGGGCACCATAATTGTCATCATCATTTGGAGATCATGGCTTATGTAACTCTAAATAAGCTTCTTTAATGGTGGATCATCTAAGCTCTAACCCACTTTTTAGTAACCATCGAAACTTCCACTCTCTTAACTCCCTTTGTATAATCAGCCGTCTCCTTGATATCCTTCCTCTACTTTTCTTCTCAAAAAATAGGCTTTTCATGTACACAACTTCATTGAGCCAACATTCACCTTCTTTCGACTTTGATAATTTTGGGCCTTCTTCTTCAAACCGGGTTGAAATCCATTTCTTCATTTTTGTAATCCAACAATAATATAAATGTAGTGGATTTAGTTAAAAGAACAGGGGCGGATCCAACCCAATCTCATTTGCTATTTTATTTTTTGAGTTCACTAAATTCGCTAGATTAATTTTTAATCAAATAATTCTTTTAACAGTAAGGGAAAAATTATTATGTCAATTTTTCTCTCTTATGTTCTTCTTTGTTTTATATTTCTTCTTACTTTTGTTCTTCTTCTTATTTTATTTTTTTCTCTTTTATGAATGAAATTTAAAAAAAATTCTTCAATATTTATATTTCTTTACTTGATTCTTTTCTTTCATTTTTATATATTTTTTAAATTATTTTTATTTAAAATTTGAAATTGATAAAATAAAAAAATAACAAATTCAATTATATTTTATATAAATACTAGTATTTGTTTTTATATGTGAAAATATTATTTAACACACACATAATAAACAAATCATACGCATATAATAAACACATTTTATATCGCATAAGCACATATAAAATTATTAATATAATATACATATACATATAGATATACATACAAATATACATACAAATAGGATATTATAAATATATTTAGTAACATATATAAATGCAAATATCATATAGCTAAAATTGATTCAACACAATATATAGTTTATATTCAATTACCATAAAATGGGTTGTGACATAGTCACCTTCAATGAATTCATAAGATAGGAAATCCAAAGCAGCTCGCTTGTTGTTGTGCTCATGCTCCTATACTCGGCTTCTGTTTATGAGGTGCTTACCGTAGACTGCTTCATAGTTTTCCAAGAGATAAGATTAGATCCAAGGAATACACAGTGATAGATTTTCTTGAGTCAGGGCATGTACCCCAATCTGCATCACAATAGGCTTCCAACTGCAATGAAGATGTCGAGTCAAATGCCAAGTTGTGATTCATGGTTCCCTTAAGATATCTTAGTAAGTGCGTTGTTGCCCTTCAATGAGTGATAGTAGGTTCACTCATAAATTGACTCAACTGTTGTGTGGCAAAAGTTACATCCGGTCTAGAGAAGTTCAAATACAGCAACCTTCTAATTAATCTGCGGTACCTTGATGTATCAGCAAGAGGTTCACCATCTTTAGCAGAGAGCTTCAGACCAATAGGCAAAGGAGTGGCTGTAGATTTGACTTCTAACATATTCATATCATCAAGAATATAAAAAATATACTGCCTTTGAGTCAAAATCATCACATCTTCTAGTAACTTTATTTCCAATCCAAGAAAGTATTTGGCCTTTCCCAAATCCTTGATTGTAAAAGCTTGGTGAAGATATAGTTTGACTTCATCAATGAGTTTTGGTGAGGTTCCTGTCAGCAAGATGTCATCCACATAAACAATTAAAACCAAAATATCTGCACTAATATACTTGAAGAACAGACAATGATCATGGGCGGACTTTTTAAAACCAAATTGTAAGACCTTATCAGCAAGAGTTTTATACCACACACGTGGTGCCTATTTGAGTCCATAGAGAGACTTTTTTAATCTACACACTTGATCAGAAGTAGCAGAGTAACCAGGTGGTGGCTTGAGATATAGTTCTTCATCCAAAGTTCCATGTAAAAAAGCATTATCCACATCAATTTGCTGAATTCTCCATCCTCTTACAACTGCAACTGCTAAAACCAATCTTACAATGACACTTTTGGCCACAGGTGCAAAACATTCGTCAAAGTTAACTCCATGAACTTGTAAGTATCCCTTTGCAACAAGCCTAGCCTTATACCTGTTGATAGTTCCATCATTATTTCTTTTTGTTCTAAATATCCATTTGCATCCAATTGCTTTCATTCCTTGTGGTAGAGTGGTTAATTTCCATGTCTTATTAGCTTCAAGGGCCTTAATTTCCTTATTCATTGCCTCAACCCAATGTGGTTTTTCTGCAGCTTCAGCATAAGTTAGAGGTTCTTTACCTGCATCTTCGGGAGTTTCATGAGCACAAACATAATCTTACATCCAGCATAGCTTTCTTTTGGCTCTATGAAGTCTGTCAAACTCCTCTGAAGTAGTTTGTGTAGGACTGAGAGATGCTGATGGTATGTAGTTTTCATCAATATTTTGGAAATCCCACATTAGAGTCATCAGTGGGAATTAATGCAGTTAAAGGGCTGTTCCCTTGTGCTGGAAGCTCTGTATTTTCAATGTTTATGCCTGGTGACAAATTATTAGGTGTGTGAGAGACACGTTGGTTCTCTCCCATAGTAGGCAGTGTATGACATTGTGGCATCTCAAGGTTGCAACAAGATTTATCTTCAAGACCAGGGAAGACATCCTCAAAGAAGATGACATCCCTAGTTATTAGAACCTTATTTCTTTCGATGTCCAAGACTCTATAACCATTTGATCCTTGTTCATATTCCAAAAATATGCATTTTGCTGCTCTCTTTCCAAGCTTTGATCTGTAAGGATCAGTATTCAGGGTAAAACAAAGACATCGAAAACCTCTCAAGTGATCTATATTTAGTTGAGTACCATGCAGCACTTGATAGGGACATTTCCACTTGATCACTGGAGTAGGAAGAAGATTTATAAGATATATAATTGTCAAAAGTGCTTCCCCCAAAAAAGATGTAGGCAAATTGGAATGCAACAACAATGATCTCATCACAGTCAAGAGATGTTGGTGCTTTCTTTCCACCATTCCATTTTGATGTGGATTGTAAAGACAAGTCTGTTCATGCATAATTCCATTTTCAACAAGCTTTAGATAAATAGTAAAAATTTTCAGTGCTTGTGATTTTGATTTCATTAAGTAAGTCCAAATTGCTCTGCTATATTCATCCACCACAGTTAAAAAATATCTACTTCCATTAGATGAAGGAAAACTATACGGCCCCAAAATATCCAAGTGAAGCAAGTCAAACCAACATGAAGCATATGTATTACTTTCATTAAAAGGCAACTTCCTTTGTTTAGCAAAGTGACATGTATCACAAGGTTTATTGACTGCAGCAAAATTATAAGCATAAGGCATGTGTATTAGAACTTTATTGGATGGATGTCCTAGTCTGTGATGCCAAGGAAACTTCTTTTCTGCAGCGAGAACCTTCAAAGAAGATTCATGCAGTAGATGGTATAAGTTCCCATTGAGTTTTCCCCTTCCAACATCAGTTTTACTTCTCTGGTCCTGAATCAAGCATTCATTATCTCTGAAACTCATAGATATATTAGAATCCAAACATAATCTAGGCACTGATATGAGACAATATTTGAAACCAGGGATGAGATAAGTATCATACAAAATGATGGAATCATTCAACATAATATTTCCTGTATGTGTTGCAGTTTGCACTATTCCATTAGGCAAGTGTATCCTTACAAGTTTCTTCAAAATATTCAAGAACTTAAAGTGCATAGAGTTGTTGCTAATATGACATGTTGCCCCAGAGTCCAATATCCAAGAATAAGTCATATTGATATCAGTAAACATATTTAAACACCTTTTACCCAAGTGATCAACCTCCAGCATATTGAGGTGATCAAGAGGTGATATCACTCAGTCAAAGGCCTTTTGAATCTTTTTTTGAATTAATTATGTGAGTGCACCAGAATTCCAAACAACACTTTCGATTAGTTTCTCCTCTTCAATCTGGAGTGCAGTCTCAACATATTGGTTTGAAGAGTCATCTATGTTTTATGTTTTATTTTTTCTTGAATTGTCTTAAACCAATCAGGAGTTGCATGTAATTTAAAACATGTCTCCTTAGTTTGCCCAGTCTTCTTGCAGTGCTCACACATCAGCTCTCTTTTGTCAATTTTCTTCTTGTCAAAAGGCTGAAGGGTTGGCCCGTGGGAGCTGAGGAGGATAGTTGGATTGGTATTATGAACAAGACCATGAATCTCTTGTTGTTTTTTCAGCACTGCAGAGCATTCCATAGATTTTGTTAAGTGAAGGAAGTGGATCTTGCATGAGAACTTGACTCCTAATTGCATTAAACGTGTCATTCAACCCCATAAGGAAGTCCACTATATCCTGCAGATAAATGTACTCCTCCACTTCATTCATTTCTTCAAGAATAGGTGCCAAACAATACAGTTCATCCTTTAGCTTTTTAAGTTTAGTGAAGTAAGAGGCTATACTCATGTTACCTTGGGTTAAACTTGAGATTTTCCTTTTCAGTTGATAGATGACAGGACCATTGCATTGCCCATATCTCTCTTTGAGTATGTTCCACAGTTCATGGCTGGAATTTACATAACCAAAAACATCTGTTAGCTGTGGAAAAATAGAGTTGAGCATCCACAAGAGAATCATGTTATCAGTTCTCCTCCAAATGGCTGTAGCCACAGGTTCCTTAGGCTTTGGAATTTCTCCAGTAATGAAGCCTTCTTTGCCCTTAGCTGCAAGTGACCGCATTATGCCACGGCTCCAAATCAAATAGTTTGAGTCAATGAGTAATGTGGTCACCAGACTCATCCATGGATGATCAGAAGGAGGGAGTTCCAAATATGCCATTGATGAGGCAGCAGTGTTACTAGGGATGAAGTTTGATGAAGCACTAGATATGGGGGAATCAGTTGCCATTGCAACATTGAGATCACAATCTCACAGAGAGGATGAAAGGGAAATAAGATCGGAGTAATACCGGGGTAATTCAAGACTTTGATACCATGAAGAGAATTTAGGAAGATGAATATTTGTATTTTACCAAAGAATTGATTTACAGTACATCACTATATACATACGTTCTCACAGGGAATAACAAAAAAAATCTAATTCCTAACAAATTATTGTAATTTGGGCTTAAAACTAATTGACAGTGGGCTACAAATGAAAAAAACATAATACAAAAGAAGTCCATAAAACAATCCAATTACCTAACCTTTATCTTCTTTCTCACCTTCTTCCTCACCTCGGTTCCAATTCATTTTGCAGTCTTCAGCTTCTAATGCTCCATTGTTCTTCAATTCTTGACATGATTCAACACAATATATAGTTTATATTCAATTACAATAAAATATAAATTTAAATATCACATAGTTAACATTCATTTAGCACTATAAAATATATTTGAATAGTCTTATACTTATATACAAATAGCATATGGTTTATATTCAATTAGAAAAAATATATAAATACAAACATAAATAATTAACGTTCATTTAGCACTATATGGTGAAATAACTTATCTTATATTTGGAAAATCTTATATCTGTATACAAATTGAAAATCATTTACATTTAATTAGAAGAACATATAAAAAAAAACATCATATATAAATGTATGTAATATTACTAAATTATTCTTATAAAATCTAAACCATTAAATATATCATATAAGTAATTCAACGATGTAGATTGAATCAACATAGTGCTAACAGTTCATATGTCGACGCTATATGATAGTAAATGCATGTAATATTACTAAATTATTCTTATAAAATCCAAACTATTAAATATATCATATAAGTTATCCAACAGTGTAGATTAATCAGTATGATGCTGATCATTCGTACGGTTAACGCCCTAGCCCTAACCACCTAGCCCTAACCACTATCCCATTTTTGGAGTTGAACTTTTGTATAATTTATTCATTTTAGAAAGCACAATATTATTTTTTGAAAAGTGAGATTTAATTTTTTTTGAATGATTATTCTACCTTTGTGATAGTATTATATCATATTTGTCTTGATAATATTTAATTATTTATTTAAAATTAATTTATTTTCAATAGCTATCAATTAAAATAGATGCTAATTTTAAATAAAATATGAATTCTATAGTTTTGGTGATAATGTGTAAAAAGTAAAAAGTGAGTATAATTTATAAATATAAAAGTTATATAAAATAATATAAAAATAAAATATACAAGGAGTATTCTTTTTAAAAGTAAAAATTGAAGTTTGTGATTCGAATAAAATTTTTGTATATCAACTACATTTTCACCGTTGCTGGAGTGAAATGTTGGAAATAATCTTTCAAAAGCATCTCAATTCCACACCACATCTAAATTGTATCTTTTATACAAATGCATCAAGTAATTTATAACGGGTTCGAACTAATTGCGCTCGAAGAACGCCATGAGGGGATCATACACTACTTGATTAGCATTCGTTCCGTGAACAAAGTCTAAGTGAGCGTAGTCTTCCCTATAGAGCAACACGAGCTTGTTGGGATCGTGGTCGGATAATGTGTCGATCAGAGTTTGCACATCCTTGACATCCGAAAGCAAGTCTTGACCACCGTACCCAAGAAATAGAGGAAGATCGTTGGGGATGCTTGTCATATTGTAAGCCGGAGGTGTTCCTTGTCCGTAGTGTTTGTTGTTGTCGTCACCGTTACCATAGTCGTACATTTCTATGGTCCCTTTTCGGATCACTATTAAAAAATTCGAGCATCTAATGTTAGCTATAAATACGGTAGGGTGTGTCTTTAAGTTTTCTAGTTTTTCTTTTTTCAAATTTTCTACTACTTAACTTAGAGGATTCCTGTTAAATATATATATATATATTTATAAATAAGCAGATCTAAATTACTATTAAAACATAAAAATTAAATTTAAATAAAAAAATCACAAACCTAAAATATTTTAATAAGGTTTTATTCATTAGAAAAAAAAAAAATGTTGGTAGAAGCCAATCTAAACTTATTTATTTCCTGAACTTAATTTGACAGACAAACTTTGTATGTATGTAAGTTGGTAAAATCCCCTTGTTCCCTTCTTCATGAAAGCTATACTTGTATATATGGCCACGTACTAGGTTAAGTTTGTTTGGTTTGTATTTTAAACTAATTTTTAATTATTTACCTCATACTTTTTTATTAAAAATATATTTTTAATTATAAATATTAAATCAAAATACCATTTAAACTAAAATTCAAATAAAAACTCAAATTCAAATACAATCCAAACAAATCCTTAGGAATCTTATGTATAAGTAAAAATTACGTGGAGTATTTTATAAAATTCATAAAGGATTAGTTTAATTGATAGTATATCTATAATATAACATAGTAATAAAATTGTCATTAAAGTAGAAATACTATTTAAGGTGGTGGAAATTTTTTTGCTAGCAATTAGTGTAAGCATAAATTTAACCGATTATTATGAATTTGTCATTTATTTTTTGTACGTAAATTTTGAAATATTAGTGGATTATATATATATATATGTAAAACAAAAAAGACATGAATATACAATTTTATCCCTAAGAATGTTTTGTAATGTAAGTTAAATTCGCTTATAACATTGTTGCAATAAAATATAAGATATACAAATTCATTTTTATTTAATATTTTTGGGGGAATACAATTACTAAAAAAGAATAAATAGATTAATTTTAGACACATAAACATGGCAAAATGAAAATATTGATTTTGGACGGAAAAGAATATTAAGTATTAGTATTTTAATCATAGTGTCTATCATAGTAATTTGATTTTATAAATGTTAATTATTACTATTTTGATGCGATTGTTCACGTGAGCAATTTGAACTAGAATAACAAATTATTGACCAAATAATCAAATCTGAGTTAAAATGACATGATTCAACAATTACCGTTTCATTTAGAAATGAGATTAACAAATTCGAACTTACTTTGGGCGAGATGAATCATGTTCTTCGTTGCGGTGGGCTGTTGCTTACTCAACGAGCTAGAAGAATTCAGGCAACAATTCGGGCCTATAAGGGAGACCGAAAGTAAAACAAGACATAAAATACCACTAAATCGTTTGAATATTTAATGATTTAAAAGGAAAAAAAAGTGTTCGATTTTCTGTTGTTAAAAAGTTCATACTACCTGTGATCGCATTTTCTATAGAAGTACAATCAATTGTGGTGCAGATATCCTTCAAAAGTTTGGAAGCAGCTCCCCTGTTGAATTTACGAAATCATAGTTTTTATTCTAAACTTTTCACCATAGTAATTTGATCGTGTAAGTTTTAACTCTTCACAATTTTAATCTTAAATGCTTAATTGTGTCTAGTTCATACACAATTTAGATAACATGTGAGTTTCTATTAGCATTTTGGACCAAACTTGCAAATAGTTAGAGTCATGAGTTCACGATAAGTTACTTTGTATTTAAATATATTTTAAATGTGTTTGAAAATAGTGAAGAATTGAGTTAAAAAATTCATGTAAATAAATATCTTGTGCCAAAAATTTATATTTTTTATATAATATTTTAAATAAAAATAAATATTTGATTTAAATTTTTTAAAAAAATATTGTTGACGAATAGTATCAAAAGTGATTTAAAAATATATATAAACAAAGTCTCTAAATATCTAATGTGATATAAATATATGTTAAATGAGATATAAATGTGATATTTACTATAAAAATATAGTTTTAATCTAATATTTTAAATAAACATAAGTATTTAACGTAAACTTTAATCAACTAATTATTATTACTATTATTATTTATGTGTATCAAATAAATTAGAAAATATATGTAAATAGATCCAAAATTCCAATTTTTCGTGATGTAAAAATATTGAAGATAATACCAAACGAGTTAGTATATATCTCACCCTCCGGGAGCGAATTTCTTGAGTCCGAGCCAATATAAGGCCTGAATATACAAATTAAAAGAAATTATTAGACATTATATCGGCGTCATGTCTGGTGAATGGTTTCCAAAAAAGAAATGAAAAATTAAATTTAGCATGAATTAAAAATATATGTTACATCGGCTATAAAGAGATCAGCTGCAGCTCTAGCTAATGGAGACAGCATTTGTCCCATATAAGCTATGGGACTAAGCATAGCGGCCGATCTCGCGATGTTCAACACTTCTTCTCTCGAAAATGCGCCCAAAGCCATTAAAGTCCCCTACAAAAAATCAAATGTTAAAATTCTTCAAGTGTATTTGTTAACTGTTTTAGAATGACATGATTCTTTAAAGATATTACACAAAAAAAATACGATGTATAATATATAATATATATACGCATGCATAATAATAATAAAAGTAAACGAAGATACACAAAATATAATTATCTATAATACTTTCATAATTCTTTATACATTACAATAAAATACCTACAACTATAAACAACTATGGTTCTTTAAGGTTTGATTTTGGTATTGCATTATTCATTAAATTATTTTCCATTGGAATTGTAAATCAAATATTTATTTGTTATTTGAAGCATTACACAAAATATCACATCGAATTATCTTTCATTTAGTTCAAATTATTATTCTGAGACTCAAACCTAAATCCAAACTTTAATAAATTATTTTATGTACTTATAGACATTACTTACTAAGGAGTGGCCGACGTAGTGAAGCTTTTGTCCCGTTTTGTCATGAACATATCGGAAGAATGCAGGGAGATCGTAGATGGCTAGCTCGTCCCATGACCAATTCCAATAGTCCTAATTGTGTCGAAAAATAGAAGAGTATCAGGAAAAGAATGGTTCAAATTTAATAAAAAAATATAAAATTTCATCATTAAAATTGAAGTCCTTATCATTGTTTAAAATTTATTTGAAGCACAATTTGAATTTAATTATCCTATAAATCATCATATTTTGCTATTTTAGGTCCTTAATATAAAATATTTGTGATGTGCTGAATAGATAATAGATTTTAATAAAAATAAATAAATAAAATACAAATATTTAATTTGATGTATATAAATAAATTATTGATAAATAGTGAAATAAAAATATTGAAAACATAAGTAAACATTTTTTTAAAGAAAAACATATATAAAAAAATTCATACGGAACTATCTGGAGTGAGGGAAGTGTGTCCGCTGCTATAACTTGTCCCCCGAACATTGGCTAGCCAAACGTCAAATCCATTGTCCGCTAATATAAATCCCAAGGATTGATCGGGAGAATCTAACCATGTCGAAGCATCCTATATTATTACCATGAACAAAAATTAATAATTTGAAAATTTTTATTATGTATTTTATGCTTATTATTTTTTTTACTATTCGATTTTTTTATTTTATCTCATAAAAGTTCAAATCAAACTATTATTTTCATCTAAAAATATATAATAAAAAAAAAATCCAAAGGAACACACCCTTAATAATATACTTGAATATATGGTAGAAAAAACATCGAGAATAATATGTAGGTTTGAAAGTACACTTATAAGTCCATGTTGAAGAAGAACTGGCGCTTTAGCCCCTTTCTTGCTATTAGATCGACCTGTTGGGATTCTTTGAAGACTTAAAATATATCCGTCTTCGGTTGTGACCTAATCATAGATAATATTTCTAAAAAAAATTAAATTATGATAACTAATAGTTAAATAAAAAATAAAAAGGATAACAAAATCTACGTACTTTATGTTCTTCGCAAGCGTACCCTTGCGTCTCCACCATTAATTGACATATGCCTTTCACATCATTGCTCGTCTCAACAAGCCTCCTATGAAGCTTCGTTCTTACACCCGATGCAGAAATGTTTAATAGAAGCAAGATAGCTAAGGACGTTATTGTCTTGTTGACAATCATCGTGGATCCTACGAGGCTCGTCGTAGAATTTTCACCTTTTGATGATCTTTTTTACAGAATTTCTTGTTGTTTTATAGGGAAAGAAATTTGGATTTATTGGATGTGATAAAATATGGGTACTCTTGTTGTAATAATGAGACAATTTTGTTGCTAACTACACTACATTTGAGTGTTCATATTTCATGAATCTCCCTTCATTTGGAGGCTAATGCAAATATATATATATATATATTGGGTATATACACATAATTAATTTATATATTTATTTTTTAGTTTAGTAAAGTATTGTTATAATAAAATAAAAGAATATTTTTATATTTTACCTAAAAGTACCGGTATATCATTGTTTGATTTTATTATACATTTGTATTATTTTCAAGGATATTTTCATCAATATGCTATTAAATTAAAAAAAAAAAATAATAATAATAATAGATACATATAAAAATGGTGTTAGGATTGACATATCTCAATACTAGTACGATGTTGTTGTCATTGGACCGAACTCGTACGAATTTACTTTTAAACTAATATAAAAGCCTCGTACTAGTAAAATTCATATAAGACTTATAAAGAATAATTTTTTTATTTTTTATTTTTCTAATTTTCTATTATAAGACTTGAGTTTGGACCTCCAACAAATAGATGAAAAGAGTATACAGGGTGTATTCACTTTATATTTTTAAATATGTATTTTTATATTAGATATGATTGATAATATACAAAATAATAGTTTATGTTAAACTATTATTATTTTTTTAAATGAATAGAACATATATATATATATATAAAATATAGATTGTGTGAGTCGTGTATATATATATATATATATTATATTTTTCGTAATCAAGAATTATGTCCCACAAATATTATTAGATGAACACACCCATATATTTGTTTTCATATAAATATTCATGAAATGTGAATAAAGGGATTGCATGCACTATTTTGAACAGTAGTATAAAGTTTAATTATAGAATAATTGTTTTTTAGGTGATATATGTATTTATGCTAAAAAATGTGAATTATATAATATATTTGATCTAAGGCAAGGCCAAGATGGAGGAGTAAAGGGAGCATCAACCAAGCCAATGGAAGAAAAAACATCCAATGGAGCAGTCCAGAATATAATCTAGTCAAAATAGTGATGAAGACATATTCCTTTGTTTGGGACACACTCCAAATTCCCTAATTGTACTTCATTTTATTTTATTTATGTCTATTTTTAGTTTCTTGTTTTATTACTTTTATATTTCATTTTCATCCCTTTAATTGCCAGTTGATTCATGCACGCACTTTTCATCTATTTTACTGTGAATTTTACTCAATCTCTTGCTTCTATTTCAATTCCAGATTTTTTTTGAACTTATTTATTTATTTCATTGATTGGATTTGCTTCCATCGGATTTTGTCGTGGTGTTCGCATCAATCTCAATCAAATTTTCGTTGTTTTAATTTTCAATTGCAAGACGAAGTCCGGACATTTTCTTCTCGAATAGGCCAAAGGACCCGATTCAATATCGATACTGACCGACCCAAGTCAATTAGGCCATCGACTTCGTTTTTCAGTGACAACAACATTAATTGTCTTATAACTTAAATATATATAAACTATAGTATATACATTTTTTAATTATACTTCACCATTGTATTAATAGAATATTGAGAATATATTTTAACTTTGTATAATTTTATATAAAAACATTGAGAATCCCTACAATATTTCGAATATGTAAATATAGAATTTTATATTTATTTCAAATTTCACTATTTCGTAGTCCATCAAATTTTATTTCACATATTTTATAAAATTTGTTCTATTTGATAAGTCGTTGCAAAATATCTGTATTTTTGGACAAAATCAATTGTTTTTTTAAATTGTAAACTATCAATGTGTTTATTTTGTATTTTTGGATGACTTTATTTATTTATTTTCACGATGGATATGAGGATTTATGTCTTAATATACAATATAGTATTTTATGTTGAATTGTTGACTATTTGTTAGATTAATAAAGGACATATGTTATATATATATATATATATTGCGTTCACGTTTATATATAATGTATCCTTTTTAGTAATATTTATAGAAAATTTTATCGCTGAATGACCCGAACCCGATCTTAGATGAACCAATTGCAACTCAAACCCGATTATAGTTACTTGTTTGCTTGCAAGTTATGATCTATTGATCTTAATCAATATGTATGGCTTAGATTAAATTGTCACTCAAGATGTGTGGCTTAATTCATATTTGTGTTAAAATATAGGTTTAATTCATGTTTTTTAGATAGTTCATACTTTTTGGAAATAGCCAGATGGTTGTTCCAGAAATTCTCTCTAGTGGAAACGAAGTCTACTTTCAATCTATTGTTAGTTTCTAAACATGAGTTGTGTTGTTTGGAGGATTTTGTAAGATTTTTACTATTCATTCAATTTTTTTTCCAAAAAAATATCAAATCAAATATCTGTTTTTCATTTTTATATTGTACTAAAAATAAATTTTATATTCAAAACATCACATCAACACCTATTTATATCATATCATACAAGTATTCAAACTCAAACTTTTTACTATTCAAATCCCAACTTAAAATCCAAACCCCCAAACAAACACACATTCCTTGATTTAGTAATATAATTGGTTTTGAGCATAAACACATCAAATGATCAAGGAATTGAGTGAATTTGAGGATTAGAAGTGTGAATTTGTGAGTTTTGTCGGTAAATCATGTTTTAGTCATAATTTTTGTATCCGAACTCCGATTAACTCAAAATCGTCAAAAAGCCCAGAAGACAGTTTTTGGTCCGTCTAAATATTTCAGGTCCAACATTCTGCTTTTTGTTTTGAACAATTAAATTTTTCGAATTACTGCTCTTAATTGATTGAGAATTTTGGAATAATTCTTTTTTGTACTGTTAGATAACGTCTTGAAGTTAATTTTAATTTTTGGAATTATGCAATTTGGAGTTGAATAGCCCTCTGAAATAGCATTTGAATTTGGTTATAGTGCGCTACGTACTATTTTTTAGGAGTGTGGAGAAAGTGCATAGAACGAGCCAATGTGAATTTGAAGAAGGCATGCTCTAAACCTTAAGTAAAAGGCTAGAGCATAAAAAGGAAGAAAAATATTGATTGAGCAAAAGAAAAAAAAAAATTGAGCAGCACACTTCCTCTTTCTGTTATTGTGATAAACCCGGAGTTGGTTCATTGCTTGGCCAACTCCCATGTATGGATGAACTGGTGTTAGGTCACCCAAAGTTAATTAGAGGTTAAATGGATTGAATAGATCTACTTATATAAAAAATGTGCACATTTCTTTCCAGGAGCCCTATTGAAAGAATTCTAGAGTTAAGCATGTTTACCCTAGAGTAATTTGAGGATGAGTGACCCATTGGGAAGTCTCCTATGGTGGCGCATGAGTGAGGATATAAACGCGCTGGAAGGACTTGTGTTGATCTGTGGGGCCAGTTTGCAATCCCGAAACACCCAGCTTTGCGTGGTTTGCGGGCCGGGGATTCTTCGAGTTTTGAGATATTGTCATGATCAAATAATGTGCTAGGGATTTGATTCTAGCTTGTTGCTTAATTTTGGAATAAGAACTTGTTTCAAACTTTCTTTTATGTTATGCGATTATATTTTGGCGTCGAATCCTCTAGTTTGTTTCCTAGTTGATGCGTCTTATTTTTTTTCGATATTATTTCTTATTGAGTATTGCATTTGAAGGAACTCCTATCTATTGCCTGAGGTAATTGCAAACTGCTTCTTCTATTTTGATCGTGGTTTCTTCTGATTTTTCCTTTTTGAGAGTTGTGAGAGAGTGTGAGAGCACTTACCTTTTAATATACATATATAATTTGTCTTTGATTTCAAGATGGCCACTTTGGAAAAATTGAAGGAATTGTTAGAATCAAGTATGCAACAATTGGAGGGCAAAATAGAAAAAACGTTATCCATGCAACAAAGGGCAATTTGGGATCATGTGAAGTATGTCGTGAATAAGAAAATGGAGGACCTCAAACATAGGTTGTCATCGTTCGGCACGAATTGAGGTCCCTTCTGAAGTAGTTAATATTTGGTGTAGATATGATGCAACTCAGGCTTCTCATCATCATGATGTTAGTCCTTCGATGAGGTTAGACGCACACAATAGTCGTAACTCATAGTACTTCTTCTATGAACGAGACCGAACTTATCATCAACGTGGCAAAGTGGATGATGATCTTTCTACGATTAGGATTACCGTTTGCCAACATTTGGAGGATTAAGAGGGGCAGAGGAATTTTTGGATTGGATGACAAAGTGCGATATGACATTTGACTGCCATGATTACTCGGATGGCAAGAAATTCCGAATAGCGATTTGTTAATTCAGGGATTATGTCTTAACTTGATGGGAGAAAGAGAGGCGCTATAGAATACGGCATGAACGAAATGCTATTGATACATGGCCCCGGTTGAAGGAGATCATGAGGAGGCATTTTGTGCCGAAAAGTTATGTTCGAGATATGAATATCAAGTTGCAGTCCTTGGTGCAACGTTCGAAATCGGTAGAGGAATATATTCAAAAATTGGAGATTTTGATGATGTGACTGGATATTGATGAGAGGGGGTCATTGAAAGAAACTCGATTTATTAAGGGTTTAAGGCATGAGATAGTTGATACGGTTGTACTGCACCATTTTCGTTCTCTTCGGGAACTTGTGGATTTGGCTATCAAATGCGAAGAGCAGCTTAAGATACCAACCTCAACCGGATTGTCATCTCAAAAGAAGTTCCCAACCAGTTCTGTAGCTCCGGTCATGTCTTCCAACGTATTTAAATGAATTGTTTTTGCTAAGCCTTTCGATAAAAATGTGGATAAAGACAAATCTAAAGTAGTTGATAAGAAAGATGAGGCTACAAAGTTCAAAGAAAATGAGTTTGGACAGTGAAAAGTAAATATTGTGACGTGCTATAAGTGTTATGGACAAGGGTACTATGCTAGTCAATGCCCC